CCTTCTTTTCTTCGAGTTACACATTTTAAAACTCTTTTCTAAAATGCATGAGATCAAAACATTCCAAAGTAAGTGATTTAGTCTATACTTGTTTCCTTCATCTAGTAAAGTTAGCATTAATAATCAGAACATGAGCATATGTTGGTAATGAATTTTATATTGTAAATTAATAGAGGCCGATTTTTGATCGGGTGAGTAGGGGTGTTCAATTCATGGCCTTCCCCCCTCACACTTAAGTTCTTGAGCCGAGAGACTTTGGTAATTATAACGGATAGTGGCATTTGGCACGAGTCATGAGTTTCATAGTTTTCTCAAAAAATTAGGTGACTACTTTAAGTCTACTAATTGTAGTCGATGTTTGGCATTTTTCGTGGTTAGTGAGTTTTCTATAGACTCGCTAGATTTGGACTCTTATTTGTTTCACACCAGACATGGTTTGAACTGTCGAGTGCGCTCGAATACCCTCTAGGAGACCCTACACCATCAACACAACTCGTTGAGGACCACCTCATGTGAGATGATTGTATTTAGTTCTGTAATTGGATTATGTACACTTGAAATTTTTCAGTTTAAAAGGAATAATGGTGGAATTTTTCACAAAACACTAAAAGACGGCATCCACTTCAACAAGTTTGATTGGAAAGAGGCCAACTTGAATTTGAAGATCCGGTAATTGGATGGGAACATTTTGGTAAACCTTGTCACAGTTTAAGAGCCCCCCATCTCCAACTGCCACTTTGAATTGTTGTGTGGGAGATAACTTGAGGTTAAGCTTGTGAGCTAAACATTGGTTGATAAGATTGTTGCTGCTGCCAGAATCAATCAAAACCACCACCTCTTGTCGGCGAATGTAGCTAGGCAATCGCAAGGTTTGTGAAGAAAACAAGCCCCCAATTGCATGCAATGAAATTTCAAGAGTTGTAACACAACCTCTTATGTCCCACGATCATTGCTAGAACCAGAATCACCCTCCTCATTTTCATCACCAATTGAGAGATACCCCCTTATGGTTTTGCAATGATGGTCAGGTGCAAACTTATTGTAACAATAATAATAAAGACCCTTTTCTCTTCGTGCTTGCATCTCTGACCATGTCATGCGTTGGAAGGGATGTTCATTAGCTTTTGTTGCTACCTCAGGTGCTGTTTCGAGTTGTGGGTTAAAATCAACATTGCCGGTCTTTGGATGTCCTTTCCAATTTCCAAGAGAGTTGCGTCAATGCTATATTTTATTTTCTTCAAGATACAGCAAACCAATAGCTTTGATGTATTTGGTTGGGAGATTTTGGGAGAGATTTGGAAAAGGAAAAGAAAAAGGTATGTGAAACTAAGTGAAATATAAATATATTTTATTCACATTTCACTTAAATTTCCCTTTTCCTTTTTAAATCCCCACTCAAATTCCCAAACCAAACACGCTTTAAGAGTTGCCGGCTTAAACATCTTGATTTCACATCGAATTTCATCCTTTAGTTCCCTAATAAAATTACCAATCAATCCAACTTTTGGTCACTCCTTGACATGAGCAGATAACTTTTCGAACGCAACTTGATACTCCTTCACAGTCCCTACCTATAGGAGATTTTTAAGGGCTTCGTTATAGTGTTCAAAAGCTGTTGGACCAAATCGAACCAACAAATCTTTCTTAAGTTGATCCCAAGTATGGCCTGAATTATTACTTTCATACCACTGGTACCACCGATTTGCTTCTCCTTCCAAAAGTTGCTATGTAATTTGTTGGGCCTAAGTTGTTGGGCTGCAGATTGTTGGGCTGGACTTGGGCCTTTTTGATAGGACTGAAATATGAGTGGCAAATCCAGAGGCCAATCAAAGTCCCACATATATTTTTTTATCAGCAAAGAACTAATATTTTATTAAATGAATAAAACATTACAAGAAGGAAAGACAAGTAATAATAAACATCAATTTGGAAAAGTTAAGTCCCATATACATATTACCCAGTAATTTTTTTTAGATGGTGAATATTACACATTATTAAATTGCAATTATGGTTTTATTGTTTACTTCTTTTTTCCTTTTAGTGGGTGTTTGGGATTTACTTTTTTGGTGATTTGTTTGTTAATGTATTTTCGTCATTTGTAAACTTTTTAAAAAAAATTAAAAAAATATTTAGGCTTCTGGAATTTACTTAACAAGATGAACCATAATTTTTTTTTAAATTCCAAAAAATTTTAGAAAAGAAAAAATTAAGAAAAAAAATAGTAGACTTTTTTGGCTTCAATTTTTCTAAATTTTCTTATTTTTTAGATTTATTTACACAAAACAGAATGGAAAAATAAATTTTTTTTGTCATTACATGAAAAAAAGATCATTAAAAATAAAAATAAAAAATTATAAAAATAAATAAATGACTTAATTAGAAGAATCCAAAGTTGTTTTGTCAGTCATGTAGATCTCTCTGTAACCATACATACATATATCCATGTGATAGTAGTAAAGCAGAAATCTCAAATGTTTATATATATATTCATATCTAATATATAATATGTTTCTCAGTCTTGAAAAATGATTTTTTTTTCTTAGTATTTAAACTCTAAATATCACAAATGAAATTTCTCAATTTTGGAGCTATTCAATTTGTCACATTTTTTTACAAGTTTTACAATTTTGATACCCTGAAATTTTAAAATAATTTTTCCCAAAAGTTTATCTCGATAAATAGGTTTCAAAAATCTAAATTTTATAAAAACTAAATAATTTATGACACTTTCAAATTTTATAGTTAAAGTTGACATTTTCAAATTTAAAATAATTTACTTGAAAAAGGAAACAAAAGCACAATAGATGGTACTGACTACTGAGCATTGACTTTTTAAAACAAGGGTTAAAACTTAATAAAAGGAATATAAAATGTGAAAAATAAGACTCTAACTTATAAACATCTAAGTGCTCGTTTGAGATGAATTAATTTAGTCAAGCTTTTTGGGTTAGATAAAAAGTTGTATTTAGAATAAATTTCGATCTTTTTTTTATTTTTTATTTTATAATTGATTTGATAGTTGTGAGAGAATAAATAGAATGATTATGATTTAGATATAATATTTTATCTTATTGTCTAAATTAACATATTTTGTCTTTATTAATTAATTTAACCAAAATAACTCATGCCAAATGAAACCTTCAGTTAAAATAATTGGTAAGGGACCTATTCATTTATAACATCAATTGGTGGGACCTCTCACCAATTACCTTGAGAGAATTCTAATTTTAGAAAGACCGTAACCCAATTAACCTATGATCTAATAATCTTCTTGGTCTACAAAATTAAGAATAGTGCGCTTCCTTACATGATCATAGGGGTCTCCCATGGCACTAGACATGTAGGGAGTGAGTAAATAACAAGAAGGTCATCATTTCGCTGCCCCAATATATATGTATAAATGTTGTATATGGCATGCAGTTACAACAAGCGATTTAACTCTTTTTCTTTCTTTTTTTTTTTTTATTCTTTTTTTCGTTCCAATTTACTTCCTTTGACGATGCTCTCAAAATGTCACTCAATTAAGGAAAACTAGCAAGATACAATAATTTCAATCCAATTAAATTATTAAGCACCATCACTAACAATAAATAATTAATAATTGAAAGACTTCAATTCACATATACAGTTTGGATCACATCATCCCTAGTTGAGACATTTACTCAACCCTATAGCAAGTCTCATAATTCTTGGTCTAGACATCCTAACTTCCTTCTAATCTCACCACCTGCGATCAAGACAAAGCAACAAAACTCGAGTCTTATAATCTATGTATGTAGACTCTAACAAACTATACTCCACACATTCTAAGTTAAAATCACATGTAAAAATGCTCTTATCATAACTACATCACTACATCGATGTCCAAAAAAGTCTACTAAATAGGTGGAAGAAGGACCAAAGTATTATAGGAATCAGTGCATGGTTCACAATCACATACGCAAACTAACCGTATTGATCGTCCGTCGAACTAATCGCAATTGATGCTTCCTTTGTCTTTCTCTACTTCATCTAAAGGCAACTCTTACTAATAAACGGGCCAGTTGACTGCCTAGTGCATTTGTTGGGAACCACCACAGACCTCCGGGCGTAGACCTCGGACATTAAGCTAACATTTAATGAGAGTTAACCAAAGGTACTAACATTTCACCCAAACACATATGATAGAAGAACCCTAGTTGTTCTTGAGCTTTAACATGTGAAAATGGTGGAGATGACCTAGCTTCTCGAAGTTGACAGACTCTCAATGCTTCTCAGTTTTTCAAGAAAACTTCACTCAAGCTCTCCTACGGTCAAACTAGGGCAACAAGCAAGGACGGAGAAAAGAGAAACGTAGAGAGAAGTTGAGAGAATGTATATGTCTAATGGCTCTCTGTTGCTTTCCCTATTATGTCAGATGAGTACGTTTATGGTTGTGAAGAAGAGCATTGAGTGAGAATATGAGTGTGAGAATCTATTAAATACATAAACCATAACAAAGTTAAAAAAAATAAAAATGCTAGAGGATGAAATAAAATGCTTGAATGGCTTACAAATAAACAAGGCGTGGCTTGTATAGCAAAATAGACTTAAGGTTCCAAAACATGTACGCTCGAAGTTTCCACACATTACATTCAAGAGCCATCGTACTCCGTCAACAAAAGAGTTTTCCCCACTTAGTGATGGAGGTGGTTGCACATTACCAATTCTTGAAATTGCTAGATAGGAATGAACTAAATATCGAGTAAAAAAACTTTTAACGGAGTATCTAATTGTTCAAATATCCCAAGTATGGTCCGACTTATTACTTTCATACCACTGGTACCACCGATTTGCTTCTCCGTCCAAAAGTTGCTATGTAATTTGTTGGGCCTAAGTTGTTGCTATGCAAATTGTTGGGCTGGACTTGGGCCTTTTTCATAGGACTGAAATCTGAGTGGCAAATCCAGAGGCCAATCAAAGTCCCACATATATTTTTTTATCAGCAAAGAACTAATATTTTATTAAATGAATAAAACATTACGTAAGGAATGTGATGATTTCTGTCCCTTGGGCGTGAAGGTGGTGCTGGTAAGTGGCGGTGATGGTGGTGTTGGCAGCCAGGTGTGTCAGGTCTATGGTCGAGAAACGGCCGGAAATGTTGACGCCATTGCATGCATAATTTCTACTGTGACAGCATGTCCACCGAAGGTGTATAGTATATTAGTGGCTCCGGTGAAATACAGTACCAGCTTTGTCGGAGCCGAGTGTGTCGCACCATCCTTCTGGCCATGAACAAGAGCTGCAATGGTCATGTACCAAGCAGTGTATGTGGTCATGCCAAGGCCTAGAAAAGACCAAATCCTGTAGTTGTGGAAAGATGGTATGAACACAGTGGTTGCACAGCAAGCTCCAAATATGTATGTCCATGTCCTCTTGTCCAATTTGTCATTGATATAGTATATGTTACTTGCATATGCAATAAGCTGTATTACAGATCCAAATAAAAGAAAAGTACAGTTGAAGGCAAGACCCACTGCTTTCCAGTAAGGACCCAACAACCCATCTAGCACTTCAAACCACTGAATGACATGGTTCTTGAAATTAACATTTTCTTTCTCCTTTCTAGTTCTGTACTCAATGTACAGAACACTGATGAGGTAAGCTGTCCAGCTACCAACAAGACCATAGAAAACCTGAAACAGAATTCCAGAGAGCATACCCAGCTGAGAGAACGAGTAGGGCAATGTCAACAGAACTTGAGCTACTTGATTGGAAGCACAGTTAAACCAAGCGTCGTCGCCGATGTGAAACAACCTAGGGCAGTGCGTGGAGCATCGCGTGTGCAATTCGTTGCAGTTGGATGATAGCATGGAGATCTGCAATTTGTGTGAACAGTAGTGCAAACAGCGGATTGAAGAAAGGAAATTTCTAGTCTCCTTTCATAACCCTCAATTCCAATTGCAGAGAGTTGGAAGATGCAGGAAAGTGAAGGTATGTGTAGAAAACTCTTTTTTTTTCTTTTTTTTTTTTTATTCTTTTTTTCGTTCCAATTTACTTCCTTTGACGATGCTCTCAAAATGTCACTCAATTAAGGAAAACTAGCAAGATCCAATAATTTAAATCCAATTAAATTATTAAGTGAAAGATTAGTTTGAGAGAGTGAGAGAAGATAGAGAGAGAGAGAGAGACACTGAATTGTTTCTATTATGTTGTATATATTTACAAAGAAATGTACACTCTCTTTATAGAGAGGAGAGGCAATCATAAGATGTCAATTGGCACCGAAAGTATAAAGCAAGGGGGGACATATAATTATTAAAGCTACATATAATTATTAAAGCTAAACATAATGATATACTAAACATACTTACTGATATACTAACAATACTAACATATAATAATATACTAACATTAAGCACCATCACTAACAATAAATAATTAATAATTGAAAGACTTCAATTTACATACACAAGTTAGATCACATCATCCCTAGTTGAGACATTTACTTAACCCTATAGCAAGTCTCATAACTCTTGGTCTAGACATCCTAACTTCCTTCCAATCTCACCACCTGCGATCAAGACAAAGCAACAAAACTCGAGTCTTATAATCCATGTATGTAGAGTCTAACAAACTATACTCCACACATTCTAAGTAAAAATCACATGTAAAAATACTGTTATCATAACAACATCACTACATCGATGTCCAAAAAAGTCTACTAAATAGGTGGAAGAAGGACCAAAGTATTATAGGAATCAGTGCATGGCTCACAATCACATACGCAAACTAACCTTATTGATCGTCCGTCGAACTAATCGCAATTGATGCTTCCTTTGTCTTTCTCTACTTCATCTAAAGGCAACTCTTACTAACAAACGGGCCAGTTGACTGCCTAGTGCATTTGTTGGGAACCACCACAGACCTCCGGGCATAGACCTCGGACATTAAGGGGTTGTTTGGGGTGTCCTAAATAAGTGCACTTTTTGTATTTTTAGACTAAAAAATTGAGATTGAAAATATGGATGTTTGGGTTAACTTTTTGACTTTTTATGAAAAAATGTGTAATAAAAAATTGTAAAAATTAAATTGATTTGTACGGAAAAATTCGAATTGGAAGTTGTGCAGCCGTAATTGTTGACTTTTAGTGAATAGTGTTAACTTTTTAACTTTTTGAGTAACTTTTTGACTTTTTAACTTTTTTACAAGTTCCCAAACTTAGCCTAAGCTAACATTTAATGAGAGTTAACCAAATGTACTAACATTTCACCCAAACACAAATGATAGAAGAACCCTAGTTGTTCTTGAGCTTTAACATGTGAAAATGGTGGAAATGAGTGATGGTGGAGATGACCTAGCTTCTCGAAGTTGACAGACTCTCAATGCTTCTCAGTTTTTCAAGAAAACTTCACTCAAGCTCTCCTACGGTCAAACAAGGGCAACAAGCAAGGACGGAGAAAAGAGAAACGTAGAGAGAAGTTGAGAGAATGTATATGTCTAATGGCTCTCTCTTGCTTTCCCTATTATGTCAGATGAGTGCGTTTATGGTTGTGAGGAAGAGTATTGAGTGAGAATATGAGTGTGAGAATCTATTAAATACATAAACCATAACAAAGTTAAAAAAAATAAAAATAAAAAATAAAAATGCTAGAGGATGAAATAAAATGCCTGAATGGCTTACAAATAAACAAGGCTTGGCTTTTATAGCAAAATGGACTTAAGGTTCCAAAACATGTACGCTCGAAGCTTCCACACATTACATTCAAGAGCCATCGTACTCCGTCAACAAAAGAGTTTTCTCCTCCTAGTGATGGAGGTGGTTGCACATCACCAATTATTGAAATTGTTAAATAGAAATGAGCTAAATATCCAGTAAAAAAACTTTTAACAGTGTATCTAATTGTTCAAATATCCCAAGTATGGTCCGAATTATTACTTTCATACCACTGGTACCACCGATTTGCTTCTCCGTCCAAAAGTTGTTATGTAATTTGTTGGGCCTAAGTTGTTGCTATGAAAATTGTTGGGCTGGACTTGGGCCTTTTTGATAGGACTGAAATATGAGTGGCAAATCCAGAGGCCAATCAAAGTCCCACATATTTTTTTTATCAGCAAAGAACTAATATTTTATTAGATGAATAAAACATTACAAGAAGGAAAGACAAGCAAGAATAAACATCAATTTGGAAAAGTTAAGTCCCATATACATATTACCCATTAATTTTTTTTTAGATGGTAAATACTACACATTATTAAATTGCAGTAATGGTTTTATTGTTTACTTTTTTGCCTTTTAGTGGGTGTTTGGGATTTACTTTTTTGGTATTTTTTTGTTAATTTATTTACGTCTTTGGTGAATTTTTTTTAAAAAAAATTAAAAAAATATTTAGGCTTCTAGAATTTACTCAACGAGATGAACCATAATTTTTTTATATTTTTTAAAATTCCAAAAAATTTCAGAAAAGAAAAAATTAAGAAAAAAAATAGTAGACTTTTCTGGCTTTAATTTTTCAATTTTTTTAATTTTTATTTTTTAGACTTATTTACACAACAGAATGGAAAAGTAATTTTTTTTTGTCATTAGATAAAAAAAGATCATTAAAAATAAATAAATAAATGACTTGTGTAGAAGAATCCAAAGTTGCTTTGTCAGTCATGTAGATCTCTCTTTAGCCATGCATACATATATCCATGTGAAAAAAAAATTAAAAAAATATTTAGGCTTCTAGAATTTACTCAACGAGATGAACCATAATTTTTTTATATTTTTTAAAATTCCAAAAAATTTCAGAAAAGAAAAAATTAAGAAAAAAAATAGTAGACTTTTCTGGCTTTAATTTTTCAATTTTTTTAATTTTTATTTTTTAGACTTATTTACACAACAGAATGGAAAAGTAAATCTTTTTGTCATTAGATAAAAAAAGATCATTAAAAATAAATAAATAAATAAATGACTTGTTTAGAAGTGTTAACATATAATATACTATACACTATAGTGCATTTGTAGGCTGTAAAGAGAGCTCACCTATGTAGCTGTAAAGAGCTCACCCACTACCACCTTCAGCTTTGACAGATGCCTTTGTATTATTTTAATGTATATTTGTATGCTTTCGGTGCTCCAGTATTCCAATTGTCTCATTCTCCTCTCTATAAAGAGAGAGAACTCATTCTCTTGTATTCACACACAAACATAATAACAGATAGTGATTATACAAATCTGTCTTTCTAGTCTCCCTCTTTTCTCTCTCTCTCCTTAACAATCTTACATGGTATCAGAGCACAGTACTACAATTCTAGCATTCTTTAATTTTGGTGCTCAGTCCCGTACATAGTGGAACTACACCAACCAGCTCGGAATCTCCTTACGATTCCAACGGCACCAATCCCGTCACCAGAAACGCAGTCACGCGCTCTCACGCACCGCCTTTTTGCTCGGCGCGTCTTTGCTTCCGTTGCCACGCTCACACGCGCCTTCACGCGCCTTCCACTCTGTCCTTTCATGTGCCGTGCCTGCTACCGTGCACCCGCGTGCGCCATCCGTCTACCGTGAGCCGCGTGTGCGCCGTTCCGCTATTGTGCACCCGCGTGCACCGTTCCGCTACTATACGCCGCAAGCCGTCTCTGCTACCGTGCGCCGCACGCCCTATCTGCTAATGTGCACCGCTGACATCATTTTCTATCCTGCTGACATCATCTCTGCACAGCCCACTTTTCCTCGTTATTTTCGGCCTTTCGGACTCACTAGTACACTCTGTTTTACCTAATTTTGCTCCTACAGGTCTATTCCTATCAATTTAGCCCTACTCAACTATTATTATGGATCGTCATGATGCATCCCATCCCATTTCCGTTATTTTGAATGGTGCCAACTATGTTCTATAGGCCCAAGCCATGTCTTCCTTCCTCAAAAGAAAGAAGCTCTGGCGAATTATCACCGGGGACATGACCCAACCGATGAAAGACACTGCTGAAACCACTGTTTCTCCTGCGACTCCTACATATGAGGATCGTCTTGAGGAATGGGACAGTAAGAATTACCAAATCATTACCTGGTTTCGAAATACTTCTGTTACGTCTATCAGTCTTCAGTTTGGTCGCTTTCAGCTTGACTCTGTCACTACTCCTGCAAAAGACATCTGGGATTTTTTTAAAGAACGATACCAGACCACTGGTCTTGCTCATCAATATCAACTTCAGAGCCAACTTCATAGGATGCGCCAAGAATCTAGTCAGTCCATCAATGACTTCCTTTCTCAAATGTACTCCGTTTGGGACTAGCTTGCTCTTTCCGAACCGACTTGGCCTCACCGAGAAGATACTGTTTTATTTACTGCTTATCGTAATCAGCAAAGATTGGTGCACTTTCTCATGGCTCTCACTTCATCCTTTGAGCCCGTACGTGCCTCTCTTCTTCATCGCCATCCCTTGCCTACTCTGGAACAAGCTATTTCTGAGTTGCTATCAGAGGAGACTCGTCTTGGTACTCTCCAAACTCATCATGTGGACTCTGTTCTTGCCACTCCTCCGTACCGGCCATCATTCACCCAGCGGACCACTACCTGCCTCTACTGTCAGAATCGGGGCCTTCCTTCCACACATCTCCTGGTCAATTGCCCTGTCAGAACGTGCCGATACTGCAACAAACTTAGTCCTGGTCATCTGCAACAGGATTGTTTTCGCAATCCATCCCGCTCATCCTCCAACAGCCACTCTTCTAGCGGTGGCTCTCCTCGGGGGAGCTTTCATTGTTCCCGGAATCAGTCTCATTCTGGGAATCAGTCTCATCACACTGCTGCTGCTGCCGCTGAGGGTCTCTCCGAGTCTCATGCTCCGTCTACCGCTCTCTTTTCTCCAACGAATGTCGAGGCCATGCTCAAACACCTTCTCCCCCCAACTGGTACACCTCCTCATACTGCTTTGTCTGTAATTCCAGGTAACTCTTCTTGGTATTTTGACTCTGCCTGTTGTAATCATATGACCTCCAGTTCAACTATATTTT